ATGGAACAAGACAATTTACATTTGAAATAAGAAAAAAAAACTGCATTGTTTTATTAAAAGTCTATAAAATCTAAATATCTTATTTTAAGTGTAAAAACATTAATTCCATTGGCAGATCATTTTATAAACCTACTAAAATTAAGGTTGAATACGCTTATTTTATGAAATGTCTACTTATTTTTAAATCATTTTTACAGTGTGAAGATAACGTTTCAAAAATGACAAAATGTTTTTTTTTTTACAAATAATAAAAACTTGTTCAAACTCAGAGGGCAGACTGCTTTCAACACAATCATAATGAATCTGAATGAAAAAAGAAAAACAGAAGAAAAGATCCATCAAAGGAAGGCGAGAGAGGAAGTCCTCCACAGAGATCTGAAAGACGCCATGTTGGCCCCAGGCTGATGATCAAAGCTCATTCAACCAGCAGGGGGCAGTCTGCTCCAAGAAGAAGGGGCGCCGCTGTCCTGGGGAATCCAGCCAATGAGGAGGCCGTCTGGGGCGGTGAGCGAGACGTTTCCGTTTCTGTGCCTCTGATGAACCCTGCCGAAGGCTTTGAGACGCAAAAAGGATTCATCATGGAGTGAGCTTTACGACAGGGGCCCCGGGGAGCGGGGGCCCTGGCCCCCAGCTTCACACTAATGCTTTCCTTATGGCCTCCCAGACCAATGATGGAAGTGAAGGAATCATCCAGGTCCCTCTGCTGGTCCTACATCCACCCTGCAGCCTCCTCTGGAGGACGCCCCCCCCCCCTGAACCAACCTCTTCATTTTTAGACAGAACAAGCCTGATGCATGTATTTTTAGAATGTGCGGTTCTGGTGGTGGACGTTGTTCTGCTGTCACAGGTCCGGCTCTCCCAGGGCAAAGGAAAACCGCCAACCACCGTCCATTTTAAGAAGCAGACTCCTCAGCAGCTATTTTCATCCGTGAGGTTCCTGACCTCGCCTGGAGTCAGAGGACTGCAGACACATCGTCTCTATAGATCAGCGTATCCAAGTTAGCATCATCTCAGTCCTCCAGACAAGATCTATAAAACCAGACCGCTGTGTTTCTCCTGTTTGACCAAAGCCATCATCAACTCAAAGCATCGATAGTTTAAAGAAAAGAAACGAGTGAAAACAGTCGAAGCGTTTTCAGCTTTTCTTTCCAGACTCAGAACCTGCTGCTGTATTCAGACAGAAACAGGACAGACCAGCTGGGATCACAGGTTTATTTCAGAAGCTGGTTTTGATTAAACCGGCTGGTTTTAGCTATGATCACAAACATTCAAACTGATCCTCTCTAGCTGCCCTGATGCCAGCACGGTGAGGTGATGTCACACTGTGTGAGAAAGCAAAAACTTCAAATAGCCTCAAACATGCTTCGTCTACACACCTGTCTGGCCTGGAAACAGCAGAAACGTCTACAGAGACAGGAGATGTAGATGTTTCTGCTGTCCCCTCTGGCTGTGTGTTTCCTGGACGGGGCCGCCTGTGGAGCTGGTTGACAGTTGCCTTTTGTATCTATGCATCTTTTTCTATGTCTGCTTCTGTCTCCTTGAACCCCAGTCGGTGAATTAGAGCTATAGAAATAAAC